CGCAAACCGTCACACCACGGTAAGGTCCAGTCTCTTCGTGACGGGCATGTACTTGACTGGAAAATGCCCACAAACTAGGCCAAGCCTGAACAAAGAGGAAATATCAATCTAAAAAATGCATGCATGGTATTTAACCGAATCAACCACTATCAACCAGGTCGAATTCGATTTAATCTAGCAAACAGCAATGACAAATGAACTCTACAACTATGGGGCTTCAAACTCTACGAGAATTCAGAAGAGACACTTGGGAAAAGAGGAGGTGGATCCTACTAGAGAAGCACAACCAAGAAATCAGATAACATGAGTGAACAAACGATGAAAGAAGCCCTTAAGGGAGAAAGACATGAGTGGCTGGTCAAACTCGGGGGACCCTCTTAGTAGGAGAAAACAGCATAAAAATCGCAAAATGCTAAACGAACTCAAAAGAAAACTCAAATGAAGCGTGGTAGAAAAATACAGTTGACCAATCAGTCAGTAGAAACTGAGCTCCTAAACATACAGCCTGCCATGAAGCAACAGAAATCAGAAACCAAAACGGAACAAAGGTAAATCGAATGATGGTAGGTTTTAGTTAGCCAATCACAGAAAGAAATATCGCTGCGCCTACATATCTACGTAAATCAGGCTATTAAGCGGGGATTGTTCACCCGAAAAGTGCACTGACGATGTCATTCCGACGGTGACGAAACTTTTGCAAGCTGGTTGCCAAGTTCGGTTGACGGATCACCTGATCAACGGACGCTGTGTGATCCATAGTCCGCTCGCTTTGAGGAAAAATATTTTGTCGTTAAACAATCCATTTCTCTCGTATGACAAGGTTCGTCAAGGAGCGAGTTGATCAAGCTATAGTGGATCTACTTTCCTGACGCATGTTCCAAAGATGCTACGGGTAAAAACAAGCGCTATTTGCCAAATTTCAATTCGCCATTAAAATTGGTGTTGCACAAGCGTGAGGAAAAATCTCTCGACATGTTTTGTAATAACGATAAAAATAGTACGGCACTGCCTGTATTTTTTGTTTGTTTTTCAAGCAAGGTGGAAACTGAAACTACCCACAAGGTTGCTGAAAACTCCTCAACAGCCCACGACCGGTTTCGCCCTTCTTGGGGCTCATCAGGTCGGCGCAGTTCCCGGGTTTCCGTCAACCTTATGTTCTACTTGAACCCAAATTGGACTGTTTTCGAGGAATACACTCGTTCGCTAATCAACTTGGTTTTCAGCAACCTTTATGAAAATATGCTGCGATATCCCGAATTTCGTGCCAACTGAAACATGAGGCGGCCTTTGTGCACCACATTCAGTTATAGAATATCATAAACGAGAGATTCAGTTGAGTTTCTCGTGAAAACCAAATTGATTTGGAAATGAGTGTATTTCTCGAAGACAGAAACTGCTTACAAAACTGAAGTCTTGTGAGCACAAATGAAGTCTGCGCTTTAATGCCAGAAAACAAAGATTGAGAAACTTCTGCCTTGGTCTTGAGTGTGTACGGTCCGGTTTGTCTACAATATTTTCAGGTGTTATCGCGTGTGCCTATGTTATCATCGGCAGTACTGATGTTACAATCATTCTAGGAGAGTAAATAATTGCAGCGTGTGGATGCTTCGGACGTGGTAACACGCATGTACTTTTAAACAAATAAATAATACATTTACAAACGTACTGTGGTCTCTTCGATACTCTTGAGGTGTCCCTGAAGCACCAAGGACGCATATTCTGTGAAGGTGGAACCATTTTGCAAGGACGGAAATTGCCGCAACGTACATATGTATGCTCTTACACCCTAGTCAGCATAAAACTAAACAAATTGTGAATCAAGCAATAAAACCAATTCCCTCAAACAAATATAAATTAAAAGGACCAGGTAAGAATATTTTCAGCTTGGTCGCATACCCGGGGAGTTCACGCCCGAATAAATGAGGTGAGGGAGACGAACAAAGTGAAACAAATTTGCACATTATGTGGAACTTTATTGATGTGTCAGGTTCCTTTTCGGACGTGGATTTGCATCTGCGACCCTTCAACCAGTGTTTTATGCTTTTCCAATGGGTTTTTTCATCTGTCCGTTAATATACGGACAACATCGTCTTTGTTCGACCTGGATGGAACCAGTTTACGTGATTGTGCGGCACTGGAGTTCTCTGCTGTTGCTGGCACAAAACACGGGACATTTATTTCGACAGTTGTTTTCTGAAACCATGCAAAATACTGCTGCAACATCCATATACTCACCGACTTTCTAAGGTTACTTCTGTAACCTTGCCTGTCTCACACCCCTGATACGGTCGCTGTGCAGTGCCATACCACTCAGAATGTTCGTGGCGCTAAAATACAATGCGTTGACTTCTATTGATATAACCATTTCTTACCGGTTAATTTAATTTACATGCAAGGACATTTACTTTCTTCAGCACTTTAGGCTTGGCGGGATGTTCAAGAAGGAACAAAAACATCAGAGTTGTCGCCTCTCCCCTCATACGCAACCAGCTGTTTGAAGAGTCATGGGTAATACATGGATAAGGATGAACTACGGTTATACCATGCTGTCTGCACGCAACACAATACTCCTAAGGCTACTGTAAACTCCTCGGCAGCCCCCGACCGGTTTTGGCCTTCTGTGAACCCATCAAATAGACGCAGTCCGATCAACCTTATGATCTACCTGAACCCAAGATGGACAGACCTCGATCACTATTCTCGTTTGTCCACGAATTCGGTCTGAACAGAATGTCTCGTTTATGATGGTCCGAGAATGAAGGAACCGGTCGTTTTCTGTCGAGGAGTTTCCATCGGCCTTACCAGTAGTGTGTTGCATCTGGACAACAACATATCTCGAATATCGTACCAACTGGAACACGAGGCGGCCTGGTGCAGCACATCCTCCTGAAGTGGACCATTAAAAGCGAGCGATTTCAAGGGATTCACTCGATGTTTTTGTTAAATCAAATTCGTACGCACATAGGGGAATTTGTCGGAATACTCTAATATCCCTTGATAAGTAGAAGGTGCTGCCCTGTACAAGTCATTTCATGCGTATGATGCAGACACACCGCTGTAGTATTTTTCTCTACTCCCCTAGTTGTCCGGCTAATAGTTGTCCGCCGGCACCGCTACATTCTGCATGTTGGTTCACGGAAGCCTTACGCCTTGTCTTGTCCGTTTTGTGTCCTTTCAAGCTTTATGGAAAAAAGATCCCCTATTAGACATTCCGAGCCACACTGAAAAAGAAAGGAAAGTAATTCCACCAAGCAGTGTTTGTTGGGAAATCTGCCGTTTTCGTCCAATTACTCATTTGAGCACTTAATTATACCTTCAAAGCTCAGAATTTGCGCACTATTTTCCACTCATCCGGGACTATTTCTACATCTAGCTTAGCTAACTATATCCTTTATCCTCCCGCTCGGATATCTGTTCCGCATCTTGGGTGACCACAGTAAAATCGAGACGTGATAGGATACAAAACCTCCGTGACATGCCAGTGAACAATAAAGCTGATTGAAGGTTGCTCTGAGGTTTTGGAATCTCGTTACCAAATCTGGAGCATAACCGAGTGGACGTTAGGATGGATGGGTTAAGAGTTGAATCTTCAAACAGACCTGAAAAATCTACAAAATGACAACCAGAGTTTTACGGATGAAAAACTGAGTGGCTTTCTACATTCCAATCGGTTCTTCCAACCGATAACCGTCTTGTGTTTGGTTGCCGTCCGAAGAAACTTTGCCGTCAATTAAAACTGCCGACAGTAATGGAACAAATCTCACCCTGTCTGGCAGTAGGTGTGTTTTGGTGAAACAGGTGAAGATTGAATTCCCCAGAAATCCTTGTGCCTACTTCTGGCTTGTTTTACATAATTTCTTGTTGCTAAGTTTTTTCGGATGACTTCACTGACTCATAGAGACCATTTCCAATACAACTCTACCAGAGAAGCCAATTACAGGCCATAATACAATACTGGGTCCCACACGTTAGAAACAACATGACTGGTTCTCTATGGGTCCTCTTCTTGGACATCCCACGTCTGACGTTTTTACCTGTTAACCCAAATAGGAAGATTAGGCGTCCTCACGTTTATTGATAGAACGTAGGTGATATTTGTATGCTTGTTTGCTTGCTAGTATGCTTGCTCCATAGTTAACACTAGACCAAACAGCGTTGTCTAAGAGCGCATTACCATTCAGTTAACTTTTGTGGCTGAAGGTTGCAGCTGATCTTAATTGGACGTCAGAACATCCAAAGTTTGATTGCAAAGATCTGTCTTATGGCACAGTAGACGAACTTTTGTAGTTTGGCCGAACTAAAATCAATTTTGTTTTTTGGTCGGGAGGGGCAAATTAAGCGATGCGAATTAGCTACTCACATAAAACATGCTCTAAATTGCTCAGGAGATATTTACAGCTGATTGTCAGGGTTGCTGTAACCAAAACCTTTCCATCTCCGTCCACCTCATAAGAGTGACTTCCTAGAAACGGCAATCATTGTCGCATAATTCAGCCTCTTTACCCCACCAAACCCGATCCAAACCACTTATTCTCAGGCATTTTTAACACTTGTCACGTTATCAATCCAGCAAAGTATTGTCTTTTTTGAAGTACACGTGACCCTTGACCACAGCGGAAGCATTGACAACACGATAGCGAGGTCTAATAACACGTTGTCAAACAGACTTGCATCAAATTTCACAGTGGCAAATGTGACAACCATGTAGGAATGCCAGCGTCACGTGGTCTATTGAATGAAGTTGGAGGAAGAAGTTCAGTGGTCAGTGTTCTCTGTTCTGTTTGCAGCCGTCAGCTACTCTCAACTAGCTGTAATTAGATGTAGCACGTGAACCCACGAAATATGACTGCATCCCATTGTACCCGATTACTGATGAGACGGTGGGACACTTTTATAAAATTTCAGAATTGCGTTAATCTACCTTTGCTTTGGACTTTGAAGGAATTTCTGGGTCAGAGAAGACATCTCACATCAGTGAGTCTTCAAAAATGTTCTAGCGTCAGAAACAATTGATGGAATGACACCGTCATTCACCTAGTCAGTCTTCGGATACACTGATCCGCAATGTTCACCGAGTCCTGATCGTGTTTTGGATCAACGCCGAGAAACAGTTTCAAACTTGACGCTGTAATGAGTGCTTCGTCCGTAATCTTACAGAATAATGCGTTCTTCAGGGGGATTTTTCAAAAGACTCTTCCAGTTTGTTGGTTTTCCTCCTCAAACGTCAAACGATCCGAGAACACTAGTGTATTTGCACAAACGAAAACCCAACGGATAAAGAGACGAGGTTTAAAATAGTTACTCCAAAAACTCAAGAAAACTCATATCATAAAGTTGGAAAAAAAGCAAGAAGACTGAAGTGCTTTAAATATGAACAAAACGGAGAGGTGACAGACGTCGAAAATTTGAAGAATGAAGCCGGAGATGTTAAGCAAGTAACACTTAATTGATGTTTTCTCTTAAGTATACCACAGGGGTGGCATTTTCAACACTGTCTTTCAGCAAACCCGACTTGGGAATTTTGCTGGTCGAAAATTGTATGAAAAAATCGCAAAAGTGATACTCCAAAGATCCAGTCCTTAGTTTCGGCATCAAGGTCGATTATTATTGCAAAAATAAATTTTTCGTTCCACTAAATAACAAATAAAGGGAAAAAACATAAAGAATCAATGTTCTCACCGTGGATAAGCAAAGTAGAAGAAAAGTGATGGAAAAGTAGACCCACTTACTTCTCTGACAAGTTCATCCCCTGACAGAGTAAACGTGTTTGACCGCATGGTTATTTTGATTGGTTGAACGCGAAGCAAGTTTTCGGGGAGAGCATACAATACACCATGACCGATATCTTCCAGACCGTCTTTGGCGAGAACCTTCTGTAAGGACTTCCTAGGGCCAAACGAGTTTGGAGACCCGGTATCCACAATCACACGACATGGATGACAAAGAACTTTATCGCCATATGATATTCTGCAAATGATAGAGATACCAACCGTAGCGTACGTCTTGAACATGACGTGGAATGATCAGTGGGACTTAATGGATATTGTTGAGTCTAACTTGACCTCATGATAATTCCCCCATTGATTTGCTTACTCCACCTATGTACTTTTGACCTTCAGTTGTTTTGCTTATCTGCACCCTTCACTTACCTTTCCGCAGAGACCGCCCCGTCCGATACTTGTGTAATGGCATGTGTGTCTGTGGGCGAATGTGCGCGGCTGACCTACTTACCCAAGCGAGTTCGTATCCCGTCTGCCAAGCCTGTCTTGACTTGTTTGTTCCCATGAGTTCCATGTGATCACACAGCTAATGAGAATTACGAGACTGTCGTTAGAGGAAACGACACTACTGAGCCAACATTCCGCTCGCCGTTGTTTGGTATGACTTTGGCACCGCACCGTGTCGATCAGTGACACACATGTATATTTGTTGACGCTACAAACGTGACGAATTGTATGACCTTGTTGCAAATAGTACCGTAGAATTTCGAACCCAACTCTTCTTTTTTTTTGTTCGGGACTGTCGAACCTACGTGTCACTCGAACTTCCGTAACGGGGAAACCTCAACAGGTATTCACTACATAATTTATAAGGGCTACAAAACTAGCGAACATACGCTTATTTGCAAACCAATTTGGTTTTTCGAGATACTCCCCTGGAACCCAGCTGAACCTCTCTTTTGTGATGTTCTCAGGCAACTGAATGCACTGTACCAGGCCACCTCATTTTTCAGTCGCTACAGTATTCGAGATATCGCGATACATATATATATATATATTTGTGATGTACTACTCATAAGGTTTCAAGTAGAACATAAGGTTGAGACGGAAGCTCGGGGACTACACCTACCTGATGAGCCTCAAAAAGGGCGAAACCGGTCGCGGGCTGTCGATGGATTTTCAGCAACCTTATGAGTAGTACGGCTACAAAACTATTTATTCCACCCAGTCATTAGTCGAACGTTTACGTAAATACCCTAGTGATTCTTTTCTTCTATTTTTATATTGTACAACGTTATTCCTCCTTTGTTTGTTATTTTGGTCTGTGCCTAAACCACGCTTGTTTTTTTGACCTGAACGTAAACCGTTCTTTGACCTTGTCATCGAACGTGTTGTTTAAGTTCACACGTTGTTTCGCTAGCTTGTAAACACATGGCTCCGAGTCGGCGTAGACTTTGAGACCCCTTAGGAATCAGTAATTTCTAAACCGGTGTATAGAAGCCGGCGTAGTCCCGCGATTTGAGGTATGTAATTGTTTCATTATTTTATTATTGTACTTATAGTACCGCATTTGTAGGTGAGCCTCCATTTGTAAGAATTGGCTCTTGGGGTTTTGCGCGTAACTCGACGTGGTTCAACAAGTTGCTGGAATCAATCTATATATCTGATTGTGAGTTGCAAGTGTATACGCAATAGGCAGGTAAGTCCGTCTTTTCAGAAATGTTCGATTTTGCAGAATATTTTCTCCCATACGCGCAAAAATGTTACATTATTCAGAATGCGGCCAAAAATGAGATTGGGGTACTTGCTTGTCAACGTAAACTTTCCATTGCTCCGATGTGTATACTGGCAAGAAATACACCGGCAACCGATGATGAGCCGCTCGCACTTCCCCAAAAACTAGATCTCCGTGTTCGAACCACGACTGTCCAAGCACACCCGGATTTCTTTTTAAAAAACGAACGTTGTAGATGGAGATAGATAGATTGCCAAATATCGTTAACGAAATGTTTCAGATTAGAATTTTATTGAATAGATTTTTAGGAACGATCTACGCAAAAACTGAAATCCATTGGGACAAAACAAAACGTGATTTAACGCGGAATAAAGAAGGAAATTTATTAGATTTTGCAACGAAAAATCTAGCGAACAGCAGGGACAGATGAACACGCCTAGACGAGAACTGAAACCGACAAGATGTCACTTATCCAAAGGGTGTAAAACCAGTTGAGCTACTGTCAATCCTCGCATTTCCTCACGACTAAGGAGAAACGAGTTGCGACTGTTCACGGCAGAACCCGAAACACGCGAGATTCAGGACCTAAAAAAATGAATTCAACAAATCGAACAAAGTTAGTCCATTCCAACCACGCATGATGTCAACAGGGTATGAAACGAGATTCACTGAGGCCGTTTCGCTTTTGAACGATCACCAACAGTTACAGGAGCAGGATAGCAAATCGAAATGAGCCTGGAACTTCAACGCCAGCTGCAGTGAATGTTTCCGACTAATATACAACGTCACCAGTAAAACATTAGTCAAAAAATGGTGTAAAATGCGGGATGATTTCATGGTACGTCTTCTGTTTTTAGCTTTTTTGTTAAGCATTTGAACCTGCTATACTAGTGAAAGAATAAAAGCCCTTCACTGCGAAAAAATTTAGCATCAAACACGTACTAAGCGCTACCAAACCACTAGAAACAAAAGTGAATATCTCATATTCAGAGTTTTTGAAAGCAAAGAATATTCTCACGCGTTCTCTTGAGCGTCCCAAAATTTGCGTCATTTCCCCCAATGTTGCTTGCATTATTAAAACAAATAACAACTGAGATAATACCATCACAACCACTCAAAACGTCACGAAAAAACGGAACCTACCCGCAAAATCGAAAGGTAAATACTGGTCTTATCACACCACCTGTAGTCAGAATATAATCAAGCAAAGAACCGGTGGATTGTTCCGATACCGCGTCTGCCCCGTGTAGTTTTCTCATTGCAATTACTCCGTCGTATTCTTGTCCCGAGACCACAACAGCCGAACTAGTGTGCATTTCAACAAACTGGAACTGTTCAACACAATGATCTTCAATCTTGACAAAAGTTTATAATCTTTGGTAATACAAATTACTAATAGGTTGTCCGTCACCAGATTGCCTTGGTGAACAATATCACCGTACTCCACGCTGTAGTCTTGGTCAAGTGAGGTGCGTGTTCGGGACTGGTCGTCATATTTAGCTTTGGTCTCATGATAGGCAGCTGTTGATCTGCTCGATGCAAGCCACGAAGTCCATCCGCCAGTATCAAAAAGCACCTTGAATTGTTGCGCCCCAACTTGAACCAAACCGTACGGATTACCCTGGTGAAATCGAAGTATGGGTGAAAAATCAGTCTCATTCACAACTTACAGCAGCGTCACTAAACAGCTTGACATATACCACCTGGTTTTCGGCACTTGGAGACCTGTAGGTCAGATTTTCGTGGTGAAAGTTCAGACTCACCTTCTATGCATCAGAAGGACCAGTATCGAAAACAGCAAAATCTTTTCAGTTCGTCGCCAGGCCATTGAATAGTAAACGGTTATTCAGAGGTTAAAACGCGTCTTCTGACAAGATAATCCACTTTTTATAGGTTCCATGGTTTTGAACACGATTGGTGGCCTGAGGTAGTTCGAATGCTTGCAAACACAGCGAATAGAAACGCTTACTTCTTGGTTGAGGTTCAAACGCTATCTCAAAGAAACATAACGTATGGCTTGAGAAATTTGAGTGACCGGGAGCTCTTTTTGTTACGGAAACAGAGTTCTGGTGTTAATCTCGTTTCTATAACCTTTCCGCTCATTTCTCATCTCCCTCCTTTCCCACCTTTACTGTTTATCTCATAATAAAATGCCTGATGAAACTAACATTCAGCCTGCACACCATTTTGGGCCTCACGAGAGACTTCCCTGGAACTCAGCTGAATCCCTCTTTTTGATGAACGTTGAAAGAAACTCGGTGACCCCGTGTACCTTCCCAGTGAAGCTGGTTGTGAGTTAACCAAGAGGCCCCAGTAATCTTATGCATAGTGTGTTACGTCAAAAAATAACATCTTGAATACCGTACCAGTTGAAACGTGAGGTTTTTCGGTGTGGTATTTTCAACTGAAAAAGTATATGAGAGAAACTAGAGATTCAGTTGAGTTCCAGGTGAGCCTCCCACTAAAATAGAATTGGTATGCAGATGATCGTCGCCAAAGTTCGTGCAAAGTTCGGCTTCAAATAAGGTTGACGGAAACTCGGAGACTGTACCTACTTGAAGAACCCCCAATAGACCGAAACCGGTGACAAGCTGTCCAAATTTTTCCAGTAACCTATTGAGCACTGTGCTTCAACTCATCATCCTTAAACCGCGGTATATGATTGTCATCCAGATCGTATTGCTTCGGGCACTTGTTTTTTCCAAATTTCAGGCATGACTACCAGCATTATTTGAAAGTAGGACACAGGTATCAATTTTCCTACAAAACATTTTATTGTCTCTTCGCAATGTTGAAAGGAAGATCATCAAGGGCGATTAAATTCATTTTCTCAAAAGAATGCACAATTGTTGATGTTGTGTTAGTAATGCTAACTATATCAAAACATAAGACTACGTGGCAAGCCTGATAAGAATACCTGGTTTTTTAACCCTGTTTCACTATCACGATGAAAGAACCGGATCGTTTCATCAATGTTGCCATGAAGGAAATCGAGTGGTTTGTATTGTACCCTTTTTT